ATTTACATCAAGCTAATTTAAAAATCACTAAAAAAAAAACCCGAGCTAAAAGCAATAAAATATAATCAAAGTATATTAAACATAGTAGTATAGAGTAGTATATATCTGACTCTAACTGTCACTCAGTACGATCATTAGAATGCCTTGATTCTCGATCTGCTCTAGTGTTTTCACATCCTGGCAGGTGTGAGGCACTTATCCAGATGTTGCGTTCAACACAATAATCCCATATTTGTCTTGCGACTGAATTGCAGTCAGGGGANAGTTTGAGGTCGTTCGCAATGCCTGACAGTAGCTCGATTTTGCCACAGGCATCCTGCTGAGATGCAGAGCCATGATTTATCAGAGTGCTAATGCTCTGTTCAGTTGATTCACCACTTGTGGGCTTTCCAGCCCCATTATTTGACTCAGCAGACCCAGATTGCTGGGTTTTGTCTGACTGTTCAGTGGATTGTTCATCCGTTTTGGCAGCTATTTGTAGCTGTTCATCGCTTTCCTCTGGAGGACCTTCCTCGATTACGAGTTGGTCAATGGTGTCCTTCATCTGACCTAAGGATTCAGCCATTGTAGACTTCATTGAAGAAATGGAAGATACCAGAAGCTCACTCATTGAGCTGATTGCCACGATGATGGCCAACTCGCTGTTGTTTGGCGCCGTGCCATTCCCAGCATTTTGAAGTGAAGAATCTGTCATTCTTTCAGCTCTGGAAACGCTTTTCCTTTGTCATCTGATCGTAAACACCTTCTACAATAACTTCCGAAATTCCTGAAGAGGTGCTCTTTTAGAACACAGGTAGTTCAAGAATTTTTTCCCAATTTTACGGTGTGCTAATTTATTGCTGAAAGACTCGAGCAAAGGAGGGAATTGCACTGATCACTCAGGCGGCTGGTGCTTTCTCACGTGACTTCGTAGTGCGCATGATGACGAGGCAGAATTAATATCAAAAGATCAATTTTGGCTTTTTTTATTACCCGTTGAAGCGACTGCCCAACAACAGGAATAGTTTTTATAACTAATTTTGGTGGCCTCGTTTAGTATCAATTTTGTAATTTAATTTTAGGGGCATTTTTGGCAAGAAATTTCAGTGNAGCTCACTCATTGAGTTGATCGCGACGACGATGGCCGACTCGCCGTTGTTTGGCGCCGCGCCATTTCCAGCATTTTGAAGCGAAGAATCTGTCATTCTTTCAGCTCTAGAAACGCTTTTCCTTTGTCGTCTGATCGTAAACACCTTCTACAATAACTTCCGAAATTCCTGAAGAGGTGCTGTTTTAGAACACAGGTATTTCAAGAATTTCTTTCCAATTTTACGGTGTGCTAATTTATTGCTGACCGACTCGAGCAAAGGCGGGAATTGCACTGATCACTCGGGCAGCTGGTGCTTTCTCACGTGACTTCGTAGTGCGCATGATGACGAGGCAGAATCATTATAATTTATTACTTACTATTTTATATCAAATGAGCTTTGAAATTTCCTGCCAAACTTTCACTGAAGTGCAAGCTAAAGTTAATGTTAAAATAAACATTATATGCAACATATATAATGTAATTTTATATCGAGCCATTTTCTTGGCTGATTGTAATGCGTGTCTCAGTTTAGGTAGAGCAGGGAATGACACATCGCTTAGGAGTCACCAATCAGAGACAAGTAGGCGGGCTCTAGGTTACTATTTAGTTTGCCTGCACTGCTATTTTCGGCCTCTTTACCATTCAGCAGCAACTCTACCTTTATGTTAACTCTAAGTTTCCCTCCGCCTCCCCAACTCCAGCCATATCCCTTCTAATTCGATTTGCCATGTTCCGGTTTTTTCGTGCCCTACCTTTGCTGAAAGAAGAACTGAAGGCAAAAACTGTCATGTTTTGTAACACTTTTTTTAGAAAGCCTAACATAAGTAAAGTCGAGATTATATAGTTATTCCTGTCCGTTTCTTGGTTTTCGCGAGAAAATTTAGTTTGAAACTGCGTATTTCTCGCTTTTTGGGCCTTTTCATTGCGGGCCCGTAATGCGTGTCAGCGGTAGGCTGTGACGTATGATATGGCGAACACGGATTTCGTAAACAAGAAGAAAACAAGCGACATGAGTTGAAAGCCGTCGTTCTGTCGCGGACTTCCGTTGCTATTTTCAACATGAGTGGTGTACACCCATTTCAGTTTGAGCCAACCTATCCTCCTGGTGAAGAACCAGTTGATTCGGAGGAAGAAGGAGACGAAGGGGACGGCGAATTAGCCAATTTTGATGTTAGAGTTGGAAACATCGAATGGTGCATTTGTGGGGGCAATTGTGTTCCAATGTCGACGGCCGATGAATGTTTTTGCTGTCAAGAATTGGAGGCCCTCAATCAAAAGTTCGACGAGTCGGGGGTTGAATGCATAACCGACCACGCAAAGTTTAGAATTGTATGCCTGGATACGGACGTGCTAAATACTGCCCTTGTTGCAATTCACAACGCACGCTGTAATCCCTTGCCGGAACCCATCGAGAACAGGTTAGTAGTTTTG